ATACAAATTACTGATGAGCCTTATATCTTTTCCATCAAGTCCCAAGTCTCTGAGGTATGATATAAGGAGGTTATGTTTAACGTTATCGAACGCCTTTTCATAGTCTATAAAGCACATGAAGACATCTTTTCTCTGATCTTGGCAATTCTGTACTAAAGTTTGAAGACTGAATATGGCTTCTCTAGTACCAAAGCCGTTCTTAAATCCAAATTGACTTTCTCCACTTACTTCCTCACATTTTTTGTAGAGTCTTGTATGCAGTACCCGTAAAAAGAGCTTAAGAAAGTGGCTCATTAGACTAATAAGACGATACTCTTTACACGAAGTTGCGTTACTTGACTTGGGTAGCGTGATAAACGTAGAACGAAGCCAGTCTTCAGGGATGTGACCGGTGTCATAGATGTTATTGAAAAGCTGTACTATAGTTTTTAAGGTTTGTTCATTAATTAAGTGGAACGTTTCCGAATACATATCATCAGGCCCTGGAGTTTTGTAGTTTTTCAGTAATCTAATCGCATGAATAATTTCACTTTCCAATATGCTTGGTCCTGATGGCATGGGAATCTCAGTTGCAGGGTTTCCTGATCTTTCGTCGTTGAAAAGATTAATGGTATAACTTCTCCAAGTTTGCAATAGTTCTTCTGTTTCCGTTATAATTTTATTTTCATCAGTTTTAATTAGGGTTATTGATTTATTATGGTGTAACCTAGCTATCTCTTTCACTTTCTTGTGAAGATGGAACAACCATGTCTCTTTTGCCGTTCTTATTTTATTACGAATTTTTCTTTGCATAGATTTATATTCGTTGTGATTATTCTGGATTTTAAATTGTCTTCGTTGTTCCATCATTTTTAAAATATCTTCAGTCATCCACTCGTTTTTCGCTGTTGTTCGATTAGCCGTGAGGAGGTTTTCATTTGTGTTCTTGAAAGCTTGCTTAATGCCCAGCCAATGTTTCTCAATGTCATTTGTACTGACAATACTTTCCAATTCTATTTTTATATGGTTTTCATTCATTGATCTTTTCTGCTGGTCTCTGAGAAGTTTTGGATCCAAGTTCTTTCTCAAGCTTTTTCGTTTAGGTTTGGCAAAACGCAATAGGATGTTGGCACGTAATGGATTATGGTCCGATTCAATATCGGCACCTGGCATTGTAGTTACTTTTGTGATCAGGTTTTTAAATCTATTATTAATTAGTATATAATCTATTTGATTACGAACAATACGGTAATCATTGTCTTGTGGAGACTTCCAGGTATAAAGTCGTCTAGATGGGAGTTTGTACCATGTATTTGTGATTGTAAGATTATTTTCTTCACAGTATTGTATCAATTTCTCACCTCTGTCATTCCTCTCACCTAAACCATAATTTCCGACCACAGATCCCAACCTGCCTTTACCGACTTTGGCATTAAAATCTCCCAAAACCAAGTTTATTTCATTACTTTTTGTGAGTCTTAGCACCTGATCAAGTTGACTGTAAAAGTCTTCAATCTCGTCCTCTGGCTTTTCTGCTGTTGGAGCATAGACCTGGATGATATTGATATTAATAGGCCTGCCCAGTAACTGAATTAGAATTACCCTTTCTGAGAGAGGAATAAAGTTCTTCACTGACTTTTGTAAATTCTCATCCATTAAAATACCAACCCCTCGCTGATGATTTTGATCAATACTGCCATTGTCGGACTAGTAAAAGACTTTACCTTTCGATTTAATCATTCCAGTACCAGGCCAATGGACTTCACTGACTCCAAGGATATTTACCTCCATCCTGTTCATGTCCTGTATTAAATTGTCAAATTTTCCAGCTGCAAACAATGTTTTCACATTCCAAGTCGCAATTTTTGTTATCTTATGTACTTGGAACCGGGGGATTCTTCGCACCTCTTGACCAGTTAAGGTCTGCCCGTGACCAGAGGCCATTTGTTTTTGAGCTTCCAACATAATAAGAAATACTAGGATGAATATCCTGGGGATATCTATGAAGATCTTTAATGCGGTGGTTTTCCGTTGCCTTCCGCATTTCCCTGCCGTTGACCACCTGCTGGTTCTTTCGCCTTTGGGAATGATTTCTCATCCCGAGGACAAGGAAGTGCCCTCACTCTTGTTAGTTCTTCCACCCGAAGCTGTTGACTTACAAGAGGGAACTGCTTATACCGGCAGTCATTGGGTCGACAGAGCCTCGTTAGTTTTCTAGCAGGGTGCACCACGTGCAGGTGAGGTTGTCGGTTGGGTTAACATAGGTAGGTATATGTTATCACCCCTATCACCTCACTACGGGCCATACATTTGGGTATTCCCAGTACTGGCTCTGGACCAAGATAGGATGCCGATGATCCCTGCCTAGCTAGCTCATCGGCTTTTTCGTTGCCTTGGTGCATAAAAAAATAGATTCAGAGAAGTCTTTATATCCGGAGAGCTTTAAACATAAACAATCGTTTTTTCGTCTAAACGAAACGGTAGGTATTGACCATAAGACAAAAGAAAAAAGTGAGTTAATAAAACGGATTCATTATTAAAGAAATTAAGAGCCTTAATTGGTCCTAGGGACGTTATCGATTCCAAGCTAAAAGAATATTAACGAGCTTTTAATTACCCTAGCGATTCGTCTTTTGAAAAAAAAGGCGAGAATTTGAATGGAGATCTTTCGAAAAATATTAAAGTTATAAAACATTTCGTATTTTATTACAGACTTTTAAAATAAATGGCTGAAATTTGGAAGATGTCGTCTATCTTCAGATAGATGAACTTGGAAAACAGACTCTCTAAGATATTTTTTTCCATAGCAACTGTTAAAATTACCTTATATCTATTTCTCAAATAAAATACCTTATCTCATTTCGTTTTGAGCCATTTCTGGCTCCAATTCAATCAGCAATCGACACGAAAGAGAATTAAAAAATATCGACTCAAAACTGACAACTAAAGAGACAGCTTTATTTATTTGTCAAATTATATAGAAAGCAACGCCAACCCAGCACAATATTTTTTCTACTCGTAATAAATTCCTTGAAATAATAATTGCTGAATATTTTTTAAACCGTAAATCGCTATGGAAAAAAATATTGTTTTATACACGACGATAAAATACCATTTTATCGTCAAAATAACTATTACAAAATAGAATACAAATTTCTTGCAATATAGGTATATAATAAAATTATATAAGGATTCTTGCCACTTAACTGCTTATATAGAAATTTAATTCTACGCTGTGTTTGTCATAATGTGGATCAACCTAGTACTCCATCATCAGGTGAGCTTGGGCAGATCCACAAAATGACAACCACAGCGCGGAGATAGTTAATTCCGACTGCATTCACCATTGCACGCAGGCCGCTATCTCCCGTTCGGGACTTAATATCTAACCGACACTTTTCGACAAGTCGGAATTAACTATCTCTGCGCTGTGGTTGTCATTTTGTGGATCTGCCCAAGCTCACCTGATGATGGAGTAGGGCTCCGAAACCGGTAGTGAGAGCAGGTTGATTCACATTATGACAAACACAGCGTAGAATTAAATTTCTATATAAGCAGTTAAGGGGCAAGAATCCTTATATAATTTTTTTTAATAACTATAACTTGACTAAATATAGGGTGTCCGTTATTTCCCAAGTTAATTTATTTTTGCTGCAGCGCTCTGAAATTTTATTTTTTGCTCTAAAAAAATTATCCAACGTAAACAAGCTCTTAATTTTTAATTTAAACCGTGCAGGGAATATTTTTTTATCTCCAAAACAAATGAACCTACAGCTTCGACAAAGACATATTCTAATACAAAATTTTAAGCCGTACAAAAAAGATCTCTTTCGTTTTTTTCATAAAAACGTTCCTTTAAAAGTTATTCGTGGTCAAAATTATGGAAAAAAAAGATATTGTTTGTAACAGTATTTTTTCGTTTTCACATAGATGCGTACGTAAAAGGTATATTTTTTTGTTTTTTTTTCTTTTATTTAGTTATACCATAATGATATACTATTGTATAGGTTATTTTCTTTGTTATTATGCTTGTAATTATTTCAGTTTTTGTGTCTTGACTATTCTACCACAATTTTTTATATTGTAATTTAGAAATAAAGTATTATTATTACTATTATGCACATAATTTATAATCAAAATTTCATTCTCTTCATCATTCACTGCAAATTTTATTTGCGCCTTTTGATTTTGACTAAAAAAGGATCTAGAGCCATACTGTTTTCAGTAAAACAATATTTCTTTGCCAACTTTAATATAGAAAACTAATATTGCACCATCTATGATCAATTGATCAAAACTATAATTTAAAATTATTGTTTTATTGCCATTCAGTGTTCGTAAATTAGCTTAAATATTACTTTTATCGAATTAATTAAATTAAATTATTAATTAATTAAATTAATTTAATTAAGTCGATATAAGTAATATTTAAGATAAAAACCACTCGAACTTTGTCATTCTTTTCAATTGACACATATATTTACGAAAACTGAAAGGCAATGAAACAATAACCTTAAATTATAGTTTTGATCAATTGATCATAGATGGCGCAATATTAGTTTTCCGTATTAAAGTTGGTAAAGAAATATTGTTTTATTAAAAAAAGTATCGCTCTAGATCCTTTTTAGTCAAAATCAAAAGGCGCAATTAAAATTTGCAGTGAATGAGAGAAAAATTTGATTATAAAATATGTGCATAACTTTGACCGCGAATAACTTTTAAAGGAATGTTTTTATGGAAAAAACCAAAGATACCTTTTTTGTAGAGCGTAAAATTCTGTATTAGAATATGTCTTTGTCGAAGCTGTAGGTTCATTTGCTTTGGAGATAAAAAATTAAATGCCAAAGGTCAGAAAATCCCATGTTATTTATATGGGAAAAGTATCATGATTCCGGCAAGGTTTAAATTAAAAATTAATAGCTTGTTTACGTTGGATAATTTTATAGAGCAAAAACTAAAATTTCAAAGGGCAGCAGCAAAAAACACCCTACTAAATATATAAGAAAGAAAAAATACACATATACATATTAATTGGTATATTTTTTTATTAAAGATAACAATAAAAAACTTAAATACCTAGGCAACAACATATTTACAATAACATTAAGTCTCGACGCAAGGAGATAATACATCATACATCATAGTCATTCAATGAGGAAATAGGAAGTAAAAAAATGAAAATCAAAGGAAACGTCATATGGGAAATAATAAAATAACTAGGAAAAATCACAAGGAGGAAATATGAACAAGTAATTCATTAACAGTCTCTCCAAAATGAGGGATATCAGTCCAAATCAAAAGTTGATAGTGTTATATTAGTGTCCGCCATGACCTCCGTGACCATGTGACTCTTGGTAAACATGCTTATATACCGGAACATGAACTGGATAAGGCTTCTTAATGTATTCTACATGATGCTTCTCGATTTCGATCTTGACAGGTTTGGGAATATAGATCGGAACAAGCTTTTCAACGGTAATAGGGACTCTCTTCTCGATTTCTTGAGGTACCAGCTTATAGATTGGTACAGCAATGGGCTGAGGTACCGGGATTTGAACTCCGTAAGGCTGAGGTACTCCTATTTTGATGGCTTGAGGTGTGGGAACTCCAACGGCGTGAGGAATGGGGACTCCGATCTTCTTGACTACTGGAACGGGGTAGTATTCTTCTTTGACGATTTTGTTGGTGGGGATGTGCTGGTGTTCCACTTGGACTTCGGGTTGTTGGTGGTCGAAGCCTTCTACGCCTCCGTCTTGGCCGTGGATTCCTACAGGTTGCCAGCTGGAGTCGCCTCCTCCTGAGGATGAAGCTTCGTAACCTCCTCCACCATAACCTAGACGATAAAATGATTTTAGTTACGAACTAATAGTGAATGTGAATACAAAAAAGGATAAAATATAATTATTATTGAAAAAATTAAGTTTAATGAATGTACCTCCATCTCCGGCTCCTTCGTAGCCTCCTCCACTAAGACCTTCTTCGCCGTAGCCGCCATGTCCACCCAAATCGTTGCCTCCATGCTCTTCAATACCGCTACCATGGGCGCTTCCTAGGAGAAGGACTGCGAAAACGACTGAACACTGAAAAAAAACAGAAAAAAAACTATAATTCTAAGTAGAATCGATTAAAAAATTACTTTACAATAATTTTACAAACTAGCTAAATTTCCGCCGGCGGTATAGACATTTAACGATAGAAATACCGCCGTTAGACGGTTTTACCTATTAATTATCATGAATACCGCCTAACAACGAGGTAAAATTTTCAAGCAAGGCGGTTGCTGCTAAATATATAAAAAATACCGCCGGTATATATAATATACCGTATATATAAATATATATATTTAGCGGTATACTTTTTTAATAAAATCATAATTTAAAGTAGAATCGATTAAAAAATCACATTAAAATAATTTTACAAACGCTAAATTTTTGCTAATTACCTATTAATTCACATGAATACAGCCGAATAACGAGGTATTTTTTTGGTGTTAAATATATAAAGAATACCGCCGGTATAATTTTTTACCAGTCATAATTTGAAGTAGAATGGATTAAAAAATGTTTACAGTAATTTTACAAACTGGCTAAATTTCCGCCGGCTGTATAGAAAATTGCTGAAAGAATGTTAGAAGGTTTTACCACATGTTTTACCTATTAATTAATATGAATACCGCCAAACAACTAGGAAATTTTTTCAAGTACGGCGGTTGTTACTAAATATATAAAGAATACCGCCATTAACAAAATCATAATTTAAAATAGATTCGATTAAAAAATTACATTAAAATAATTTTACAAACTGGCTAAATTTCCGCCTGCGCGGCGGTATAGATAATTGACGAAAGAAACACAGCCGTTAGACGGTTTTGCCTATTAATTAACATGAATACCGCCACGAGGTATTTTTTTTTGGTGTTAAATATACAAAGAATACCGCCATTCGGCGGTATAATTTTTTGTTAAAATCACAATTTAAAGTAGAATGGATTGAAAAATTATTCTACAATAATTTTAGAAACTGGCTAAATTTCCGCCGGCGGTATAAAAAATTGACGAAAGAAAGTTAGACAGTTTTACCTATTAATTAATATGTATACCGCCGAACAACTAGGTAAATTTTTCAAGAACGTTGTTACTAAATATATAAAGAATAGTGCCATTCGGCGGTATACATTATTAACAAAATCATAATTTAAAGTAGAATCGATTAAAAAATTACATTAAAATATTTTTACAAACTGGCTAAATTTCTGCCGGCGGTATAGATAATTGACGAAAAAAATACAGCCGTTAGACGGTTTTACCATTAATTAACATGAATACTGCAGGTGTTTTTCGGTGTTAGATATAAAAAGGATACCGCCATTCGGCGGTATAAATTTTAACAAAATCATAATTTAAAGTAGAATCGATTGAAAAATAACTATACAATAGTTTTTATAAACTGGGTAAATTTTTGTCGGCGGTATAGATAATTGACAAAAGAAAGACCGGCGTTAGACAGTTTTACCTATTAATTAGCATGAATACCGCCAAACAACGAGTTAAATTTTTCGGTTGTTGCTAAATATAATAAAAATACCGCCATTCGGCGACAAATTTTACGACAAATTAACTCAATTTTCCATCGACATTTACACATATAGAAATATCATGCCGCCGGTATTCTTTTTTCTGATAGATACTTGTTTAGCCAGTATTTTTTTACTGCACACTATATTTCGTCAAATTTGTGCTTAACTATTGTTTTGTTACTTAAAAAAATCTTGTAGTTGTTCAAAAAGTAAATTTCTAGTCTCTCTATGTTAATATTTTATACCTATTATTTAGTGTCTTTAACACGCTAAGAGAATATTTCTGTAAACAATTGAAGATATTTCAACATACCAGTCCAAATCTATAGACATGCTTTGTGTATCTGAACTAAATCAATCTTGTATATAGTACCAGTAAAATAATTAGAGATAGAATCAATAGCAGCGTCTGCTAAATTTGTATAGCTTTATAGCAAGAGCATTGTTTTAAGAACATTAGTTTCGGTTTAATGTAGCGTATGGTTTAATCTACCCCAAAACGGAGCTTAATATATGTAAATATTTACCTTGTATAAGTCTATATATTGTTTATAATTATTGTACAAGCTTTGGGGTATTGTACATAAAGGTACAGTTTAGTTATTGAAGCATCGAGATTAATTTTTCTTTTTAAACTGTGATAATTAAAAGCCCAGAAAATATGTAGACCTATACAGGGTGTTTCAAAAACATGTGCCTCTCTCGACTGCTCATGTGCCTCTCAACAAGTTCAACATAGTTCTGATTTTTATTTCGTAGCTACAGGGTGTTAAAATCTTAATATTGTTTCGATTTATTATAATTTTTTTCAGTGTCGACATATTCACCAGGGACGTGCATATGGGTTATCACTGGAATATTTTGATAAAAAATATGAGGAAAAGTTCCTATAACCATGAGTATGGAAATGCATAGTTTTAGAGTTACAGGATGTTAAAAATTAGGTTTTTTGTAATTATCTTAAATACCATAATTTTTTTATTTGAAATTGCTGTAAGTGGGACTAATAGTAATAATATTTAATAATAAATTAGGTAAAATATACAATTTATTAATTTTATTAATTGTGGTTAATAAAATTGCGTTTATCTCATCAAGGAAGCCGAATTCGACAAAATATCAAGACATAACTTTTAAACGACCTGTCAAAAACAAAAAAAGGCAGTGGCGCATATGTTTTTTTTTTGAAAAATATTCTAGTGATAACCTACATGCACGTCCCTGATAAATGTATCGACACTTTTTTAGCAAAATAAAAACACTAAATCACCACAATACACCAAAACACTTTTACTTTTACACTGGACGCGCGTTTCGCTAACCATGTTAGCATCATCAGCAGATGATTATAAACTAAAGTACAATCTACAAGTTGAGCGTTTATATACTCGCTCAGTGGGCACCGAGTGGGCGTGGCAAAATCTAGCCAACCGAGTCTGAGAGCAAACTGAGCGTAACAGTTAGATTTCCGCCACTAGAGTAGTAGGAACAAAGAACTTGAAGGAATTGGACCGTTGACTCTGTTCATACTATCTTTACATTTATTAATTATGATGCTTTCATATGCATCTAATTGCCTGTAATTTGAGACTTGTTTAATTAATTTTAAATTATTAAGATCTATACAATGTTCATTATCAACAATATGTTCGGCAACGCAAGATTTATCCGGTCTACCATATCTTATCTGAGCTAAATGTTCTTTAAATCTAGTTAATATTGATCTCCTAGTTTGCCCAACATATTTCTGATTACAATCTTTACAAGAAATTTCATAAATACCCGACCTTTCCAGTGGAGGTGTTTTATCTTTTGGATTACCTAATAATTGTTGTAATTTATTATTAGCACTATACACAAGTTTATAATTGACATTCTTAAAAATTCCTTTAGACCACGGGATAACTCTCTATCAAACGGTATCGAAAAATATTTAGACGTATCTTTCTCCACTTGAAAAGTCGAATTTTCAGAAATCATTAACCTATACCTACGTTTTCTAATTAATTTATCAACTAGTGAAGGAGAATATCCATTACACTCAGCTACATTCCTAATGTAATCTCTTTCTATTTCATATCTTTCGTTGGAAAGTGGGAAACTAAGTAATCTATGTACTAAGAAATTTAAACTAGCCATTTTATGTTCAACACTATGATGTGATTCATTAGGAATATATCTGCGTGTGGTCGTATTTTTCCTATAGATATCAAATTCCTAGTTTTTATTTTGCTGTGTAACACCAAAGGTTCCAACCCTAAACTGTAAACTTTTTAAGCATTAAATTATGTAGCAATCGTAGTAAATTTTAACCTCAAAATTTCATTCAAATCTCTAAAAGTACTTGAAAGAAAATTATAATAAATCAAAAAATTATTTAGACTTTAACACCCTGTAGCTACGAAACAAAGCAGAATCGGACCTATGTTGATATGAAAAATAAATCTTATTTTAACGTGAGGAATCTCCCAACGAGAGATGGCACACGTTTTTTGAAACATCCTGTATATTATAATTTATTAGATTAAAGAAACGTTAATCTAATGCACTTTTACTATTAAATTAAACATTCATGCCCAGTTATACCCCGGAAAATTCAACATTGTTCTAGCACGATCCATGTTACTGAGCCTGTGTATGTTTTTCTTTATGACACTGATATGTAGCTGTATGCAAATGCTAAATGGAACAACGCACGGGCGCTTATACTATTAAAATACGTAAACAAAACCCTGGCAAAATTCCATCTAACCGTTTCACTGTGTAATTCTATATGTATATTCGCTACAAACGGTGCAAATAAAATTACTTTTTCCCGGTTTGATTTGGTTTGGTTTGGTTTGGTTTGGCAAAAAAAAAAAGCCCGTGCAATTGGCTTTTCAATTTTATATAACTGGAAGCTTCTTTGGGAAGGCTTCCTGCAAAAAGAGGCGTTAAATATGCAAATATTAATAAGAAAAATGCTCCTATGGCAGGTAATATATCATATCGTTTTGCCCTAATTCGGTGAGAAGCAATTTTGGAATCGAAAAAGGCTCAAGTAGATTTTTAAAAAAGAGGCTTTTTAATTTATTTTTTTGGTTGAAATATATTACATTACACAAAAACGACAGTTTGTATTGAAATAGAATTTTGTGAGTATATCTAGGTTAACTTAAAGCATTTTTTAAAAATATATTCTACAGAATTTCCCCAAAAAAACAGTACACGTTAAAGTTATGTTTTTTGTAATTGAACACCCTATTTATTAATCAATTTTCGGATTCTAGAAAAAAGACAAAGGTAAGTTTCATTAGAGAAGCATATGAGACTAAAAAGTAAAATTTTTGACATATTTTAACATTTTTTAAAATTAAGAATACATTTCAAATTTCAATAAAATTTACCTAAATTGGAATTTACCCGGTACAGCCAAATAAGTAGATAAAATACCGATTGTACTTTAAATCAAATTAAAACATAACCTAAAAAGTTATACAGAGTGAGACAAAAGTAATTAACACT